TTCAAATCAAATCTAAGCGGAGCAGAGTGTAGCGAATTTGCTGATTGAATTCTAGAGACCCTTAGGAAAATTGAGGCAGAAGAAAGAATTTCAGGAAAATTTCACAGTGTTTATGAAGTACTCTTCGAGTGGATTCCAACAATCTTTACCGCTTCTCATCACATTAATTTTGAAAGGAAGTTATGGGCCTTTGAAGACTGCATAGTCGCGGTCCAGGAAAATGGCTTGAAAAAAATCAAGGTGGAAAAACGGAACAACGGGACTATTTTTTGAGCGAGTGATTATTTCAAAAAGTTTTAGCACTTATTTCGAAAGCTCTAATCCTCTAGTTTCTAATTAGCCTTAGACATCTGCAAAATGTTGATTATGAAGAAAGTTATGAACGTTTGAATGTCGAAAACTCGCGCCTTCTCAAAAATCGGACCACAAACCCCCCACCCAAAACGGAACAACGGGACTATTTTTTGAGAGAGTGATCGCTTGGAAAAAAGTCAGGTGCTTGTTCGAAAGCGCTAATCTTCTAGTTTCTAATTAGCCTTAGACATTTGCAAAAAGTTGATATGAAGAAAGTTATGAATGTTTGAATGTCAAAACTCGCGTGTGCACAAAAAACGGAGAACATTGGTAACATTTCATTTCAATACTTTTGAGGAAGAGAACTTTTGAATTCTTGAAATTTTGGTGTCCGGTTTCATGAGACCGCTTCTCTGAAAAAAAAAAACATAACCTTCTGAATGGAGGGGTTTGCATTGCAACGTAATTGCTACAAGGTTTAGTTTTATAAAATAAGGAAAATTGAGAGATCGAAAAAAAAAAAAACTTGGTAGGTTTCTGAAAGTAGAAATCTTTGTGATTAAATCATGTATTGGTTTACGCAAAAATTTGGAAATTCCTTCTATTTAATGAATAAAACTTCATGTTGCCTCGATTCCCTCCTCTGAGCGAGACAGAGCGCGCGGATTGACCACGGTCCACCACTTCTCCATGTTGGTGACTGCCCATACATCAATGATGAGCATTAAATTATGTGAAAGACATAATAGTTAATATGGGGGGGGGTCGTACCGATACCCTCCGAAAAAGGAAGGGGATTGAAAGTTTTGGAGTTTGCGCAATGCAGGATTGACCCTGCTTCACAGTGGCGCCCTTGGCTTGTTGCCGCTGCTCCGATCCGTTCTACGCGCAAAGCTACTGACCAAATTTCTGCAGTATTTTCTTCAGTCGTGGCTACGTGTCATGTTTGCGAGCCTTCGCAAAACTCCTCATCGGCTATCCACTCAAAGTTTTAGGCTGTTGGTACTAGACTAGACTGTACTGCTCAGGGACGTTTCTCGATTTTCTGAGCCTATCAGTCTTCATTTGGTGCCTTCAGCGCTTTGATATACCTTAAACTCCACGTTACTTTTGCATGGTATGATTCTTTTAGTTACTGTTGCTGTGAAAGTGTATGAATGATTACTTATAGTGCCAGTATAAATACCAGTTTTGCTCCGCCCGCTATCGCGCGCATCACACGGCAGGCTTTAGCGAAACTGGAGGACCCATGGAATATCAGCATGAGGTACTCCATTAACCACCTCACTATTGAATGTGTTAGACCTTTCCCAGTTTCGCTGAAGTCCATCGAGAATACGCGTGATAACGTCTGGAGCTGAACTGGCATATTTATCTCACAACTGTAAACATCCAGCATTCTTCTTGAATTCAGATAATTTAGCGGTGAATAGGATTGCTGTCAGTCTCAAAATGAAAATGAAATATGCCTATTTACATAAGTGAGGAGCTAAGGCTTATCATTTATTTACATTCACCATTATTTAGAACCCCGAAAGGATTAGCGGTTTAATGAGTTTGGGCTTTCTTGATAGAAATGAAAGTTATCATTTGCTGAAGACTTGATTGAGTTTATGCAATAGACTGCTATTAAGTAAGCTGGTCATACAATGATACAATGTGCACGTACCACTACAAATAGAATTTGTAAGTAGGGACGCTCTAGTATCAGCGCAAGCTACGCAAGCTGCGTTCTGACGCGCCTTATCAGCCTTTATCAGTTGTAACCACTTTCCATCACCCACCAACAATGTCCCCGTCCCACCCCACATAACACTTGTAAGTATGGACGCTCTGTGTCAACGCGAGCTGCGTAACGGAATCGACGACTTTTGCGTTCTGACGCGCCTTATCAGCCCTTATCAGTTGTTATCACTTTCTATCACCCACCAACAATGTCCCGTCCCACCCACATAACACTTGTAAGTATGGTTGCTCTGGTGTCAACGCGAGCCAGGTAACGGAATCGACGACTTTTGCGTTCTGACGCGCCTTATCAGCCCTTATCAGTTGTATCACTTTCAATCACCCACCAACAATGTCCCCGTCCCACCCCACATAACACTTGTAAGTATGGTTGCTCTGGTGTCAACGCGAGCCAGGTAACGGAATCGACTTTTGCGTTCTGACGCGCCTTATCAGCCTTTATCAGTTGTATCACTTTCAATCACCCACCAACAATGTCCCCGTCCCACCCCACATAACACTTGTAAGTATGGTTGCTCTGGTGTCAACGCGAGCTGGGTAACCGACGACTTTTGCGTTCTGACGCATCTTATCAGCCCTTATCAGTTGCTATCGCTTTCATTCATGTACCACCAATGTCCCGGGACCACCCCACATAACACTTGTAAGTATAGACGCTCTAGTACCAATATGAACGACAAAACGAAATTGGCGATGCTCGCTTTCTAGCCCCTCTTATCAGCTATTATCAGTCGTTATCAGTTCCTATCACATACCACTTGTGTCCCCATCCCACCCCCTATAACATATGTAAGAACCATGGCGCTATCATTGCTGTGACCCGAGCTACGAATTTCGTGACAAACAGACGCACACACACACAGACATACATACTTAGCGAATTATATATAGTAGGATGGCAGAGTATATGCATGAGTATTTTTGGTACATAATATACAACATGAGTGTGTGCTGTACGTATACGTTAGAGTATGAAAGCAAGTATTAATTGTGTAAGTTTGTGATTCTGTCCATATTTTGATCTGTGTAATAAGAGATATCATTCTTCCGAGGGGCAAAGTCAGAGACTGGGAAAGATTATTCTACAACCTGACTGTTTCTCAGAACTCTTCTCCATAGCGCTCATTCCTTAAAAAAAAAGGGGGGGGACATTCAAAACAGGGCCGATGGTAGCTGACACTTCCTCTCCGTAAGGCGTATTCCCAATTAGTCTCAAGCACAGTTAGTGAATTACTCACTTGAAGCACCCCCCCCCCCCACCTCCAGCGACATGTCCGGGGTGTGGGTACTTAGGACAGAACGCGACATTTTCGCTCTTCGCAACGCGACATCGCGCGGCAGGCTGCGCTCCCGCAGCGAAAACAGCTACGGTACGAGGGGCGCGTGAATGGAGCGCGTTATTTGCTCTGGTTCTAAGTTGCGACAAGGAATTTGAAGCTTACTAACCATGGACTTGATAGTGAACGAGGAAATGGCCACCAGAAGAGGACCACTAAATAGCAGTGAAGAAAGAGGTAGGTTAATTTTGCAGAGGATGGATGGTAGACCCTGGAAGAGGAGTGGTTGATGGACGTTCGATGAGACTCACGACAAAGGATCAGTTCGTCAGAGTTTGCTATGATATATAGAGTATTACCTAGGCCGATGAGTGTGTAATTACCTCGTTCACCAATAATTTGAAGTGTTCTAGAATTCTAGAATACCACTTTAACGGCATCGCTCGGAATCGTGTAATTCACAAAACATTTCCATTGATGAGAGAGAATTGGTGATTCACCGCATGTCTCAATACAATGAGTGTGAGCGTGGGCAAGCAATAAATCAGAAACTTACAAATTCACGCATGCGAAAAAAGCTGCTCCAATCGCGCGTTCTTCATACCGTAGCTGTTTTCGCTGCGGGAGCGCTAGCCCGCCGCGCGATGTCGCACTTGCGAAGCGCGAAACAGTCTCCATCAGGAAACAAGCACAAGTCAACAATCTCCATCAGGATTGCTGTACCTTCTCTTGACACGCCTTTGGGTGTGGGTACTTATGAAGACATCACTAACTAGAGCACCAACCAAGCGTTCCGTAAAAGATGTTATACCCTTATGCAGAAGTCTATACAACAATATGAACCCACAAAATGCAAGCACAAGCGACACTATTAAACCCTCGTTCACCGATAATTCGTAAAACACCATTTGTGGCATCGCCCGGAATCGTGTAAGTCACAAAACGTTTTCAATAATGAGACAGAATTAGTGATTCACCGCATTTATCAATACAATGGGTGTGAGCGCGGGCAAGTAAGGAATCAGAAACTTACAAATTCACGCATGCAAAAAAGCTGCTCCAATCGCGCGTTCTTCATACCGTAGTTTTTCGCTGCGGGAGCGCCAGCCTGCCGCGCGATGTCGCGTTGCGAAGAGCGAAAAAGTCGCGTTCTGTCCTAAGTACCCACACCCCATGTCTTTATCACGTGAGAGATGGCTCTGGAGGAGACGCGGACGACAAGCGTAGACGCCCCCTTTGCACTGGGCGTGAACTCTGCCGCCAGACCGTATGCTCGTCTGGACTCTCCCCGAAAGAGATACCCTGGTTGACAGAAGCCTTGTAATCGATTTTTCGGTCACGGTAAGAATAGACTGGACTGATGTTGGCTCATAGTACGTATAATCGAGCTATGGACCACTTTTTCGCTATCACTTGCCATTCAGGAGGGTCGCTCAGGCGAAATTGACCAGTGTGCCAGGATCCCTGCACATGCTTCTCCATCATTTAAAAACAGTTTTAAAAAAGCGGGGTGTAACTTGAAAGTACTGTCTGTTCAATCCAGGCTGGTCTTTCAAGCGGCGACGGTATATTCAGTATTCGGATGTTGATATTTTTTTATTAATTGGATACCATAGGTTTATCGAATATGTGAGTAAGCCTTACATTGCAAGCCTACTTTTCTGTTCCAGCGAGTTGGCCTTCATGCATTCATCAGTGGGGAGATGTTTATCCATTTTGTACACTTCGCCTCTGGGAACGGCCGAGCTTTTGCATGCAATCGGACAGAACCAGGTTCGTTCGTTAGTCTCCTATATTGCAATGTTGCTGTTAGAATTTTTTAAATAACGACTCTTATTTTTCATGCTCTAGGAGCTTTCTGCCGATGATAGTATTCACGCCATGTTCAGCCTTGTTTATGGCAATTGTGTCTTCCCAAGTGATGAGAAAGCTGTTCTAGAGGTTGGTACTATTAGGTTGGCAAGATTGAAATGTCGCTTCCGTCTGTGCTGTTCCTCAGCTCAAACACAATCTCTTAGGATGGGAGACCATTCATTCGAGAGAGCGATTCAGCACGCATATTGCGAAATCTTAGGCGCCACTGAGCGGATGTTCTTCGAGCCAAAACTTTTGCTCGAAGATGACTGATCAGAAATCATCGTCTGAGCGTATATATTCAAGCAAGGAAAAACGGCCAACGAATCCCACTCATTGTGTGCAAAACATTGAGCAGTAACACTTAGTCTCTGATGCACTTTCAGCTATGGTTTCAGCTCTTCCAAGACTGAGGTAAAGGACCTGAGGACGAAGATCGTGGATTGACCTCTAGCTCTAGATGACGGAGAAATAAAGAAAGCCAACGAATTGAGTCCTCGACAAACCGCACAAAACTTGCATGGAGATTCAGTTGTGTCAACAGAAAAATTTAAAAGTTCCTACGTGCGACTGTTAAGGCCTTTCAGGATAGAAAATGGGTTCGGCCTATTCTGAGCGACGCGAGCAAGCAGTACTGGTTGCCAATACTGGAACTTCGCTCCATAACTTCCAAGAGGAAGAAGGTTCTTGACTTCGTTGAACGCTTCACAACAGGATGTTCCCCGATAACAAAGTGAGAAGATGGCCGTGGTGGGACAGATGGACAGCTGAGGATGACTTTGAAATTGGACATCCACTGAGAAAAAGTCGTGCTACGGTGTGGTGGAACAGTATAAGACTGGCCTACTATGGAGAGCTGATTGTGGGTCAGACAGTTACAGCTGAAGCCTGCGCACAACAGCCCCCGCGTGGACCGAGCTCTGCGTCGTCAAGGGGTGAATTCGGCCAATGTAAAACTATTGCACCATAACGGAAGACCACATGTCGTGAAAATCACGCAACAAGAAATCGAGGAGTTGGGCTGGGACGTTCTACCTCCAGCGCCATATAGCCCAGGTCTGGCGCCGTCCGACTATCACTGACCCAGGTCAGCGCAACACTCCTTAGCAGCAAACCAATTCGATAACCGCGACGACGTCAAAATTTGAGTGCCCAACTTCTTCGAGTCGAACCAGAAAGAGTTCTACGCGGTAGGCATCCATGCTTTGCGTAACAAAAGGTGATGAGCCTGTGACACAGGTGAAGGAGATGGTTCAGGTTGATGTGCTTCATTATTGTTTTTATAATGAAAATAATTGATGATCGAGAAACGACATTTCAATCTGGCCAACCTAATACTTCTACGTTTTTGATGTTCTTTCAATCAATATTTCTTTTTTATAGACACTTAACTGTTTGATACGTGTTCAACTCCTGACTCATAATAACCCCCGTCTCGTTATCCGTAAAGGAACGGCAGCCTTTCCACGCCTGTATAAGTTGTACAGCGATTCCCTCTATGCCGCAAAGGTTATCTTTCTAACAATTAATTGCATTATTACACTATTTAGTAACGGCTAATTAAATCTATCTCAGATTTTTCTAACTGCAGCGCTTCATGATTCTGTCATGTTGGTTCTATGTCAGGATGAGGTATTCCTTGACATCGACCCTGCTAAGGTCAGTTGTCTTCGACCAAGTCTCTTGTTGTCTTTTTTTTGCACGCTCCAGCTGTATACTAAAACCTTACATTTCAGTCTCCTCTAAGATTCCCAAGCGCGGATCGTGTGCGCCGTTTTGGCGATGACCCCACAAGTGCACAGTATCATAAAAGAGTGGCCGCGCATCGGAAGCTAATAGTTGAAAAGCTTGTACTACTTGCTCACAGTTTTATCAAAGGTACAAGTTACTTCATTTTGTCGCTCCGCATGTGAGATGTACTTTTCTTATCCAACTAAATTCTTACTTTCAGGGATTTGTGATGCGATTTCGTGTTTTCCGTTAGGTTTGATATGGCTAGTGCAACAGTTGAATTCATCACTAACTGAAATCAAACGACTTAATGTATGTGAGGTGAGTAACGACATAGCGAGGTGTTCTATTTCTTTCTGTTCATTATATGGTCTATATTGATATGACACGAAATGATCGCACATTTCGAGCAGTGTTTTCTCACGTCGTCTCGGTCGTGGCTCCAATTCTGGCTCCTCTTGCTACTTCTTGTAGTCGGTATCCCGTATACTCAAAAAATAAAAAAAATGTAATGGCGTTTCGAACTTTTTTGCCTAAAAGTACTGTAACTGATCCGTATCACAACTTACACGGTCACTCTTGAGTTGTATCTGTTTCCAGAACAATTTTTTTTGGATTTTTGTGTTTTATTATTCTACATCTCCAGTTGACTAGTATACATATTGCTGTATTCTTCACTAGTTTTCAGGCAACACTGATCTGTACTGACCTTATCGTAACCAATTTGTTATGTCCGGCAATAATAAACCCGGAAAACGTGGGCATAATCAGTGATACACCTATTAGTCATATTGCTCGATTCAATCTCATGCAAATAGGACAGATAATACAGGTTGGTTATGATTTCCAGCAAAGGTAACTCCGAAATGAGGTGATAGATACACTTTGTTTCCCAAAGCTGAGCATGTCATAATTGCAGATTGACGGAAAAGGTCTGATAGGTCTAATAAATATCAGTTCGGCCATTTGCAAAGGGTGCATGCCGTTGCACACGTCTTTGGAGGTTAAAGCTCCGTTCTCTGCGAAAAGATTATCTGAACGACAACATGAAGTTTATCTTGAGTTCTGCATCACCTATGAACGCTATGTGAAGCAAGCAACAGCAAGCCGAGTTGTGGCATCACAGCGCAGTTGGCTGCGTTTTGGGATATAGGCAGTAGATCGCGAGATCAATTTTAGGCAGTCTCGGCTTTGTCTCGAAAGTATGGCTTAGAAGCCTGTTGACTTCTTAGCCTCAACAGTGCTTGTCCATATTCTTTTGTTAAAAGTCTGCGAACAGTTTTCAAAAATATAGACACCAATTGCTCACAATACCTATGGTACCGGTACCGTGGGCGCTGGGCTTTCTCGCACCAAACAAATGCGATTCTCGTGCTCATTGAATCAAACCTAAGGTTTTCAAAAAATTTAGATTTTGACCCTTCCTTGGAAATGTGGCGTCACTTACCAATCTTCAGCCTTTCTTCGCCTGATTCGGGGATCCATATGAGATTTTAGCCATGCTTCTGAAAAGAACAATCACGACGCTGGTGTTCTCAAGGCGAGGAGTTTCGACATATGAAGAGCCCAAGATACTTGCCTTCCCCGTTCCTGGTCTTTCCCCCTGAGGACTAAGCCTCAGGAGAACCAAGGGGGTGTATAAGTAATTATTGCCCTCGAAGTTCTTCCTCTCCTCTTTGACTCAGTCGGCATAACAATGCCTCCCCGTCCTTGGGTACACCAACGCCGAAATTAGTGTCTGGCTTATCACATCATCAAAATGATATTGCCAAGAGCATATGTCAGATCAGTTTTGAATGAAGTCTGCCTCAGGATTACGTTATGGAGACGTAAGGAGGCATCGCCACTGACTGCCTCTTTACAATCTGGATCAAATTTCTAATTTTGCTACAATCATGCGCCGGTATTACCCAAATTCGTCAATAACTGTTCGCAAAAAAATTTTTACAAGCAGCAAAAAATTTTTTACAAGCATCTTAAGGAAGAGGTTTGCTGACGTAGCGATGCTCAACTCTTTTAGAAATGTTACTGAGAAGAACAAGAGAGGTAGTTTGTCAAAGAATCGGTCGCAACTGCTCCATTCCATCTAGTCAAATAACCCTTTCACAGCATCCCCCTTAGGTTGCAAACAGATTATCCTAAAGACACATGGATTAATGTACATCTACGATTAGTCGAATTGACCTCTGACTTTTCTCATAAGAAAACAGAGGCATTAAGACCTTGTGGTATAGTTTTTTTCCGAGGTTTCTGTCACATGTGCTTCTGAGTCTATATTTGCAGCATTCGCTGCCAGGAAACGAACTCTGATGAAGTTTCAAAGACAATTTCAGAAGTACAGCTTGTTCGCATTTGGTTTACGTGTTCAAGTATTACGCTTAACCCTTTGGCAACAATAGCACACATCGGTGGGTGTCACTCTGTCAGCCCCGTTGGACAAAGGGACCCAGTGGTGTGGCACCTTAAAATTTTCTTTGTTGCGAGCTTAATACATTTCATCATTCCTACATTAAGGAAGCTTCATAATATTTATTTTTAGAGTGATCAACAGAAATATTCAATAAAAGGTAGTATATGAAATTTTAGAATGTGGTTTTTGTCTCCCTTGCATATACGGAGCGTTTCATAATTATAAGTCTTCCTAAAATTTTGCATTTCCAAAAAAAAAGCAGCGGCCTGGAAATTTTTCTAGTATCACCAGCTGATTCCTCACTATGAATAACCCCTGTATCGCAATTTTGGCGGGAGCAGCTTTTCTTCGAACTTTTTTATAATTATTTTTCGATTTTTGCACCGTTTCATAATTATAAGGTCACCCTGTGAAAATGAATACTACATTATCAGAAACAACCAACCTGCCTGTGAAATTGAATGTTTGTTACAAACACACCCATTAGCTAAATTTATGGAATGTTTCGTATTCGTCTTTTGAAGAAAAGGCTAAGATGCGTTTCGTGGTGCTCGGCACGGCTCGTGAGCCTTTGCAAAGCAGTTCGGAAAATCTTTTGCTCTATTGATAGATAAGATTTCTGTTATTCTTCGCACGCTGACCTTATATTTATGAAACAATGCAGGTGCAGAAACC